GCCTGTCCCCGATTCTTTCTGCCCTTTTATCCTTGTTAGAAATCATTAAGGAAAATGGTTGTTTTCCAGGGCTAGGGCCGGAGCCATCTGCTCTCCCAGCGCTGCCTAAATCCCCCTGTAACAAATTCATTGGGATTATGCTGCCCTCCCTTAATCCCAGCCCTTCCCCCCACATGAGGGATTTAAAAGGATTAAAGCCTCGCCGATAATAAACTTCATTAAGAGGGAGGGGGGGGTGTCAATCCGATTTGGAGCCTTTTTCTTGATATCTTCACTTTGCCCAGGCGGGAGGCGAGGGTTGGCAGGATGGGGAAGGAGGGCAGGCAGCTCTACTGCTGACCAGGCACTGCGATCTCTGGCTCCTCTGGCCCTTGCTCCCTTACCTGCTCTTGAAATAAATTGTCTTGCTCTGCCTTTTCTTCTTCCTTGGTGTCTGTGCACGGTCACACCTCCGTGGGACATGAGGCTGGCACCCCTGCCCTGCCACTGGTGACCCACTTGGCCTTGGCCACATCCCTTAGCCAGGTCCTCAATAGCCTCAGCCCAGCGTGGAGGGGGCCTGTGTCCCCCCAGCCGAGTACTGGTCCTGCCCACTGCCATGTGATGGATGGGGAAGGTCTCATTGCTGCAGCCCTGCTGCCTCCTTCTCCTTGATTTCCCAGGGGGGTTTATCCCCAACATGAATAACCTCCCATGCACACCCTCCCCACCAGCTGCTCCCCTGTGTGGCATTGAGGGCTTGTGATGAGGGGCTGCCTGCTGCTACCCTAGCCCCAAAATCTTTCAGTGGGCTGCTGAAGCTGTGGACAGGCTGGAGGATGTGTTAGGGAGATGGATGCAGTAGGTGGGTGCATTGGGGGGATGCAGCAGGAGGGTGCAAGGGGTTAGGTCTGGGCAGGTGGGTGCAGGGGCTGGTGAGGAAGAAGCTGCAGGCAGGGCTGCCCAGATTAGCATCTCCAACAGGCCCGCAGCCTAAAGCTGCCATGCACACAGGAAAAAGTCCAGTAAATAGACTTTCCGTAATCCTGTTTGGTGCAGTCCAAATCCTCCTGGCCCTGGCTCTCCTGGGCTGTAGCACCAGGGTGTGCTCTCAGCACCTGGGGAACCCCAGTGCAGGGCACAGATGGGCCAGAGCAGGCAGCAGTGCAGGCAGGAGGCTGCTGCAGGGCTCGGTGCTGCCTGGGGAGGATCCTCCTCACCATATCCCCCAGGATGGGATCTTTGGGATAGGCCTGCACACAAGCCCTGGCACAGGGGGAGCATCAAACCTTACCATGGCCACACTCATGGGTAGGATGGGCTGTCTAGGGTGGGGGACACTCCCCGATGCGGTTACCCCTTCCCAGAGAAAGGAGCCTGGGCGTCCCCGAGGCTAATTACCCAAATGGCCTCGGGCTGTGTGAGGCGGCGGCTATTCCCTAATACAATTTACCCTCAAGTGCAATTTAATTTTCCTCGAGGCTGGTGGCCGTCCCCCGCACACCAGCCACCTTCCCACCCCTTTGCGCTCGCTCCCTCCCGCCTTGCCCCTCTTCCCCTTCCCTCCTCAGCACGGGTGAGAGCTTTTCTCCATCGGCATCCCCCCTCTGCCCATGCTGCGGCCATAAAATCACCGGGGGTTCGTTCAACATCAATTAATTTTCAATTACAATTAGCAACGGCAGTGCCTGCGAGGGGAGAGGCTTCCTCCAGCCGCTGGTGAGTACTTGGGTCTCACTGTGCTTGTCCTTGCTCCAGGTGACCGCTGGCAATAGGGGTGTCTGTGGGATGGGGTCATGCACAGCTATTGGAGTAATTGAGAAGTGGGGAGCAGAAGGGGTTGTGCACATGGGGGCTTGGGGTGCACTGCTCAGAGGGTGGCTGTAGCAGCTTTGGCCCCATAAGGATGTCCCCACCTGGGGGAGCTGGTTTTGTTATGCAGGGGGTCGCTGGGATGAGACCCAGCAATCTCGCTGCATGGTGGCACAATGCCTTGCTGTCAGCTGAGCTCCTGGCACCTCCAACCCCACTCAGGCTTTGCTGATGAGGGACATGGCTGGGCTCACACCCGCCAGGCATGAGTCTTCCTTACATCCACCCCTAATTTTGCCTTGAAACCCTGCTGTTGCACCTGGGAACAATGCACTGATGTCCCCCGCGGTGACATGCTGCCCAAACCAGCCGCAGTTCCTGCATGCCTGGGCTGGGGCACAGCAAGAGAGGCTGGGGCTGGGTCTCAGGAAAGGCTGTAGGGTTTACCTGCTTTTTTATTATTAACACTGGTGGGGAAGGTGCCGGGAGCGCTATCCCTGCTTGTCTGTGGGGTTTGCATCACATTGCTTGTGTCTTCATCTGGCTGCAGAGGGGGTTCAGGCAATACCAACAAGAGAGCAGGATATCTGTATGGTGCCAGAGACCCCCAAAACTGCCCCAGAAATATAACCTGATGAAAATCGTGGCATTCACCCTTCTGCGGGCTGGTCACCACTGCCCCTTAGCTCTGTTTTAGATCCGGGAGGAGGAGAAAGCCTGGAAGGCGATTTCACACCAGTGACATGCAACCACCGGCTCCTCAAGCAGCATCTTGGGTGGCACAAAGGGTGTTTGCTGGGCAAGAGGCCCATGCCCACCTCCCCACATGCCAGGATAATGGGTTGTGATGGAGAAAGTTAACCTGAGAGAGACCAAAAAACCACAAAGCAACCCAAAAAAAAACAACCCAGAGATAAAAAAAAAATAAACCAAACCAAACAAAAAAACAAACCCAAACCAAACAAAAAAAAAAACCCCAACAACAACAAAAAAAACACATGACACCAAAATGAGGAACAGAGGGAAAGCAAGAAGGATGGAGGGCAATGCTACAGGGGATGAAGGCTCTACTGGGAAGATATAACAAGCCAAGGGTGAATGGGGAGGAAGATGGTGGTGGGGGTTTATTTTTAGTGGACACTCAGACACTCGTGTTGGCTGTGCACTGGCAGCACGATGCTCCCCGAGGTAAAGGCTCAGCACTCCCTTTGCCTGCTTGTCATTGCCGTGAGTGAGCAGGACAGAGGGGCCTGGATCAATCTGGCAAAGCAGAAAAATGAATGAAAATTGAATTCCCCAAGGAGAAGGGATGGGGGGAGCTGTTATCCCAGCTGAGAGATAAATCAGAGCGTGCTGGAGAGTGGGGGATGGAGACCACTCCTAACAGTGGTGGAATAATTAAGGCAATAGGTTGGAAAAGCAAAGAGGTGGGGCAGGGAGGCCACGGGGCAGTGTCCGTCTGTTTGTCCGTACATCCGGCTAAACTTCTGTAAATGTGCCTTAGGGACCTGCCTTCCTGCTCGCTGGGAGCCCCGCTCCGCGCTGCCGGCTGGCTGGGGACCGAGCGGGGGGACGGGACAGTGGCCCCTGCCCCAGGGGGCTGTGGAGCGCAGGTGGCCGCGGCAGTGGGGGCCGGGTTGTGCTTAATGCACTTAAAAGCTGGTGCTTGATTTAGGGGAGAAAGAGAGAGGAAGGGATGGGATTCATCTCCCCCCGTGGTGGGAAGCCAGTTCTAGCGCTTGGTGGACTGAAGGGGGCTCATTCCTGAAGTGAATGTGCATCGATCTCTGCCCAGAGACGGGCTGGGGTTTTGCTGGTAAACTAAACCTTTGGGGTTAAAACCCAGAAGCTTATTTACAATTATATTTTTTTTCCTGAGCAGCCATCGGGCTTAATACATTTCTTAGGTTTTATCACTTTTATTTTTAATCAATTTTTTTTTTTTTTCCCAATTGCTGGTGTATCCCACCTGCACATTTCCTGAGGGGACAGTTCAGTTTTTTTCAGGTGGGAAAAGCATCTTCCTGGTTTGCATTTCAGTGTGGGTATGAAGAAACAGAAAGGGCATATGTGAGCTGAGGGTGTCTGAGCGAGCATCCTGCCATTCCCACCCAGTGCTGCCTCAGAGGTGTCACCCTGCTTGGGCAGGCTCAGTGCTCTAAGTGCTCCTTACCCAGGCAGCGTAGATGTCACAGCACATCAGGGCCATTTGGCACTGTTGTCCCCAAGCTGGATGATGTGACTACCAGGAAGGGTGATGCTCCAGGCACCCTGGCTAACTTCAGCTGCATTTTGGTGTGCTTCTTCACTCGGACCTTAGCCTCTGGGTACTGCCAGGTACTGCTGTCTCTCAACACACTGGCTTCACTCTGGTGTCACAGGCCGGGTTGCCCCAGTGTTTTCCCTTGGCAAAGCCCATGGGGATCCTTCTGGAAGGTGTAGTCACACCAAGCTCTTTGACTTTGGCATCACCACCCTTGTGCCACAGCAGCCGGTGGACTGCTGGGCCAGGTGTGCTGCAGCACTGCAGAGTTGGGTTGGTTCTTTCCATGCCCAGATGCGTCCCTGATGAAGCTGCTGTTGGAATGGGCCTTGTGGCATGGGTGTGCTACAGCACCCTGTTGGAACAGAGCTTTCTGCAGTTGTTCCTGGTACTGGGGCTGCCCATGGGGATTAACAGCCACTGGGAAATAACTCGCGTCGGTGTGGCAGCAAGGGTATGGGGACGCGCTGGTTTCTGCCAGAGCCAGGGAAGGAAGCCGCCTGGCTGAGCCCCTATTCTCAGTGGCAGGAGGGACAGGAGGACTCACTACTCGATCACATGGAGTGGAAGAAGGTCCCAGAGCTCCAGCAGCGGAGACTGGGGCCTTTGAGTATTCACTCTCTCCCCGCAGTGGCAGGGTCGGACAGCACTCCCTGGTCCCGGACAGCACCCCGGGTCTCGACAGCACCATGTCGGGACAGCTATGCGCGCTGCGGGGCCGCAGGACGTCCCTAGGCCCCGCCCCTTCCCCGCAGACCCCGCCCCCGTCCAGCAAGCCCCGCCCATTCCGCACACAAGACACGCCCCCTCCTTCTCCAGGCGGGCGTCGATTGGCCCCGGGCGGTCCGCCCCGCCCCCGCCCCCCTGCGGGCAGTGACGTCAGGCTCTCTCCCCGCAGGGTGAATGAATGGAAGGCGGGCGGCGCTGGTGGGCACAGCTGCGGCACCGCGCCCGGGCCGGCACCGGTACCGGTACCGCCCGCGGGACACGGCGCTGCCTCCCTCCGCGGGGCTCCGCCGGCCCGGGCCGCATCTCTCCCTCCCCTCTTCTTTCCCCTCCACCGCCCCCGGGCCAATAAAATGATGCAAAGCTCCGCTCTCGCTGCCGAAGGGGCTGTCAAGGGGCTTCCCGAGATCCTCGGTGTGCCGGTGCAACGTAAGGACGCTTTTCTCTTCTCCCTCCTTCGCACCCTGCCGCAAAGGCGGCCCCGGGCCGGCGGGGCAGGGCGGGCCAGGGCGGGCAGGGGCTGTGGTGGCAGCGCCCTGAGGGCTGGGCAGGTGCCTCCCGCTCCCGCCCGGGCGTGTTTTTTGTTCTTCCTTTTATTTTTTTTCCCGTGTGTAGCGGCGTTAATGGACGTGAAAATTAGGAGCGTACGGAAGGGACAGCGGTGCCCCGGGGCGGGCGGGCAGCGGCGGCAGCGGCGGCAGCCTTGCGGAGCGGTGGGGTTCTGGCCCCGACGGGGAAGTCGGCGCTGCCGCGGCTCCGGCTGTGCGCCTGCAAATGCGTGTGTGTGTGTGTGTGTGTGTGTGTGTGTGTGTGTGCGCGTGTGGTACCCCGATCCCCCCTCACTCCCGGCCCACAGCGCACAACTCCCCCCTTATATCGTTTATCGCGACAGGCAGCGCCTCACGGGCTACGGGCAGCTGTGGGAAGGGTCCCACGGGCGTGCGGGCATGTTACCGGAATGGCGAGGCCGGCTCGGCTTTGCGCGGCCAGTGGGGAGATGCCGCTGTCTCTGCGCCTGTCCCCCAAATCACCTATAGATCTGTACGTGCACATACATGCTCTGCAGCTACAGGTAGCATGTTCCTGTGAAAGCACACGCTCGCGAGTGCTGGGGGTGTGCGCAGTCCCGTACGCGGGTGCACGGATCCCAGCGGGTCTCGAGGGCACGCACCTGCCGGCAGCCGGTGGGGGCCGGCAGCCTCCTCGCATTTCTAGGGCCGAGCCCCACACGGGGTGAGCTCCTGTGCTCGCACACCTCTATAGATTCTGGTTCCGGTGCGGGGCGGCTGTGCCCCTGTGGGCAGGGGCCCAGCCCCAGCGCTGCGCGGCCAGACTGCCAGCAGAGCAGGTTGTATTATTATTATTATTATTATTGTCTCTTCTTTTACAAACGGTTCCCAAGAACCGGGGCGGCCCTGCTGACCCGGAGAGGGGAGGAGCCCGCCGGGGGCAGCCGGGCAATGCTCTGCACCCCTCCACTCTTCCCGGAAAGTTGAGGGAAGGGAGCTCCGGCGGAGGGGTGAGATGGGCCCAAGTCCCGGGAGAAATCTGCCAGGCGGGCAGCAGTGCCTGGGGGTTGGTAGCATTTTGGGGGGCACTCCAGAGTAGGGGTGAGCACCCCGGAGCCTACCCGCTCCAGGCTAGGCTTTGCCCCCTCCCCCCACCACTCGCCGCTGCCCCCCGGTCATCCCCTGCCGTTCCCCGCCCCGCACCAGCATCCGCCCCCCCCGGGCGCCTGTAATTCGTTTTCCTCATGTGTTTTTGCGGGGTTTGAGGCTGGTGCCTGCCCGCTGCTGCCCAGTTTGGCGAGCCGCGGACAGTCTCCATCCTGCTTGCGGGGTTGTCCCCGTTATCCCCCTTTTCTGTCCGTTTGCTATTGGTGCAGGAGGGCACGTTTAACAGTGTTTCTCCGAAGGAAAGGGGAAGAAAAGTCCCCGTCGGGAGCGCAGAGGCAGAGCCGGTGAGGAGACAGGTGGGGGCTGTCCCACGGCCGGATCCTGACCGTTCCCTGCGACTGAATAGCACGAATGTCGCCCCTGGTTCTCAGCCGTGGGGCCACTTCGATGGCCCCGAATCCCGAGGATTTAAGGAGAAATGATGTGCCTCAAGCACCCCAGAGCTGCTATTGCAGTAGCAAAGCTCCGTGGTTTGGCCTTTCTGGGCGCCGCCAAGCTCTTTGCCGCCCCTGACTTTGCCATTTCGGTACCAATTGACGCGTATCGCGAATTATTAGGAAATAATCTAACGAGATACGATGAATATTTATTGACGCGCAAACATTAGTGGCAGGAACAGAATATATGAAGGTGGCTGCTGTCAAAGTTCCCACCGCCCCGCAGTCCCCCGGCGGCCGCGGCCGGGCCCTGCCGTGGGGCCTGATCCTGCGGCGGTCACACATCTGCCCGCTCCCCAGGGCGAAGGGGAATTGCCCCTGGGCAGGGAATGCCTTCTAGAGGGGAATTCTGCCCGCTGCCTGCGCCGGGGTCACCCTCCCAACAGCACCTCGATATTTCATCGTGTGTGCGATGAAGATTCTTGACATTTTCATTTCTAATGACTGTTCAGTGGCAGCTTTCCTTCTGATTAAGCACTGCACAACCTCCTTGTTTTAGTAGGGACTGTGCCCTGCAGCATCCCCTTCAGCGAGATTTTGGGGGGCCGAGCCTTCCCCCGACAAACCTAGCTACAGCTCAGCTTTGCAGACGGGTTTGTTAAAAAATATAATCCCGAGTATTATTTATGAATATTGTTTTGCAAATCTCACTGAAGGAAAAACTTCTGCCAAAGCCTGTGGGAATGGTGCCGGGCGCCGTCAGCCTCTGGCCAAGGGTCTTTAATGGGGGTGATTAATCGCCGCTGGGAAAGTCGTTTGCACGCTGCAGATAAATGAATAGAAGAGGTTTTTGCATGTGAAGGAATGGGGTTTCCTCCCTGCAGAAATGGGTATTTTTAAGGAGTTCCCGACTTGGTGCTTCCCTCGGGGCGGGTGTTTGGTGCCGGCTCCAGTACTGGGGGGATTGGACTGCCTTTGTGTTCCGGCTTCCCACCCGCATTGCTGAGACACTGATTCTGCAGTACCTTCGTCTTCGTGGTTGACGAACTCTTAAAACCAAACAAACCCCAGACCCCGGATAAAGGCTGTTTGCCAGGGGTTGCCCGGGGCCGGGCTGTGGGAGCGCGTCCTCCCGACTGCTGTCCCCGCTCTCGGGTTTGGGGGTTTCTGCTGTCTGAGGGATTCCTGAGGCCACCCGCCAGTTTCTTTCGTTTCCATCGTTATTTCTTTATTTATCCGTCGGGGAGAGATTGGGATGGACGGATGGACCCGGTGCCAATAAATCACGGTAACAGCGGCAGGCGGGGGCCGGAGCTCAGCGCGGCTTGCCGGGCCGCACCTCGGTTCCTCGGCATGTGGGGGTGGGTGGGGGCGGAGAAGGAAAAGGGGGTGATGCACGACGGCACTGCAGATTTGGCTGCGGGTTTTAATGGGATACAGCCAAATCCTGTCCGGGCTGCCGCTGGCGGGAGGCAGGGATTCGCTCAGCTGTGAGGTCTCCTCTCGGGCACATCACCACGGGAGGGGGGACCTCAGCCTAACACCCCCCACCCGGGGAGCGGCTTGCATTGAGGCTGCTGCGCCCGTGGGGGAGATCCCTGTTGAGGGGAGAAGAGGGGACCGTGGGGCTGGGCCCCCAGGAGCCCCTACCAAACTCCCCTGCACACAGAGCCAACCCCGCGCTGCTGGCGGGCAGAGACAGCGACACCGTTAACATCAGCTCTGTTCTAGCCAATAATTTAGTTGAAACAAGTGAAATAAATGCGAGGCTTTCTGCAGGCAGGGAGGCAATGCAGAGGGGGGCCCGGCGCAGTCGTCGCAGCTGCAAAGCACAAAGCAGAGGGCAGAGATTATGCTTGGGATGTTTTCTCTGTGCATGAATCGGACAAACCGGCAGGTTGACCGAGACATCTCCTGGTACCCCGGCAGCTCAGTGTTGTTGTTATTATTTTTATTATTATTATTATACACGGGGGAAAGCAGACAAGTGGGTGCGAGTCCTGCGTATTTGAGCGTGCACACACAAACCTGTGTGTGTTTGGTCGGTGCCGTACATCTACAGGCAGATCAGAAGTAAGAAAGGAGGTCTCGTTGAAAAAAAACAAAAACACCTGAATCTTTTCTTCTCTGGAGATTTGGAGGAAGATATTTTATTATCTGTTGCGGTTGTTTGCTTGCTGGAATGAAGCTGTGTTGCTGTCTTTAAGAAGGAGAAAGCTGTATTGGTTAGCTTGTTAGTATGTCTATATACTTATATATGCGTACGTGTATATATATGTATATGCATACACGTGTTTATATAAATAACTTTTTTATATAAAACAGGTTTCACAAACGTTCATACATGTTTGTGAAAAAAATGACAAGGATTTATTTTGCAATGACACCGAAGGTACCTCCGCTCGGGGCAATGCTCTGCTGGTGCCACCGTCTGTGCCAGCGGCTTTCACGTTGTTCTAAAATAGGTTTAACGAATGAAATGTGGAAAACGTGGCCAGTACCGACCTGCAACCGTAGTGCTGCTGGGAGAGGGGAGCAAAGCATCCAGGTGTTTTCAGAGCAAGGAGAAGAAGGGGATCTATGGAAACTGTAGATTTTTTGTTGTTGTTGTTGGTTGGTTGGGTATTTTGTTGTTGTTGCTTGATTTATTCTACTCTTGTTAATGCTTAAATGTCAGCAATAAATATGGTCTGAAGGGCACTCGGATGGTAACTGCCTAACCTGCAGAATGATAAAATAAGCTACGTTCACCTGAGATACGTGTCAGTACCCCGAAGAATATTTAAATAATGTTTAAGGCTGTAACAATGCGATCCTCTCCCATGCTCTTTTCCTCTTTCCCCTCCTTCCTTTCCTTCTCCCCCCCTTCTTTCCTCTTTTCCTCGAGCTTTTTTTTTGCTCTTTTTTCCCCTCTCTTTCTTTCGTTTCTTCTTCCCCCCCTTTTTTCATCCTTTCCCTCCCTTTTTCCTCCCTTTTTCCCCTTTTACCCCTTTTTCTCCTTTCCCCCCTTTCTTTCCTTTTTTCCCCCCTTCTTTTCTCCCTTTTCCCTTCATTTTCTTTTTCCTTTTCCCTTCTTTTTCCTTTTCCCTTCTTTTTCCTTTTCCCTTCCTTTCCTTTTCTTTTCCCCGTCATTTTCTTTCCCTCTTTTTCCTTCTTTTCTTCCTTTTTTCCTTCATTTCCCCCTTTTCCTTCATTTCCCCCTTTTCCTTCATTTCCCCCTTTTCCTTCATTTCCCCCTTTTCCTTCATTTCCCCCTTTTCCTTCATTTCCCCTTTTTCCTTCATTTGCCCCTTTTTCCTTCATTTTCCCTTTTTTCCTTCGTTTCTCCATTTTTTTCCTACACACCCTCCTTCCCTTTTTCCTTCCTTCTCTCCCCTCTTTTCCTTTCCGTGTTAGTTTTTCCTTTCCCCCCTCCTGGTAGCACCCAGCCCAGGTACAGGGGTCCCCTATCCCTCAGTAGCCGAGCCCCGGCAGGCCCCCTTCCAGGGCAGGGCTGCTCCCGGAGCGGGTGGTGGGAGCAGGTTTCCAGCAGCCCCGGTCCTTTGGTTCCTGATCCGGGGCAGCCCGGCTGTGCGGCGCCGCTGGGCGCGGGGAGAGTTTTACCGCGGGTCAGTGAAGGATTCGCTGCGCGGCTCGGCCACTTCGGCTGCGGACAGCAGAGCCTCCGCTGAGCCCCGCACTGGGAGCAGCTTAGAGAAACACACACACACACACACACACACACACAAGAGCGCACACACATACACCCTCGTATTTACTGTCATCCCTCTCTGGCAGGAGAAGGAGGCAGCAATCCTTGTGCATAAGTATCTCTCCTACTCGTATGCTCCAGCTACAGGCATGGCAGTGCTTTCTTCGGCCTCCCCTCTCGCCCTCCCCATTCAATCTGCTTTCATGCTTGTGTGTCCTCATTGTGTGTCTGGATTTTACCAGGCACTCTCCTGCAGGCTTCTACAGCATCTCCCGTTCATTCGAAGTGTGGGCAGACAGAGACATAAATATCTAGCTCTCCGGATGTACAGAAGCTGTCCATCTATAAGACAGATATTGTAAAGAATGGCCAGGGGTACATATTCCCTTAGGAAAAGCCCCAAAAGCATCCCCTCACAGTATGGGGGCTGTTGGGAGTGGAGGGGGGAGGGCATGATGGGGCGGGACACACTACCCCTTGTTACTACTGCTGTGCTCCAGAGTGGCTTTGCTTCAGCCCATCTTTCCCAGCCATTTCCAGTGACAGGGGTCTGTAACACCCCAGTGAGATTGGAGGAAGTGGGCAGAGACCTGCTGCTCCCGTCTGTCCAAAGGGGCGGTGGGCCGTGGGCAACACAAAGTCACCAGGTGCCCTGGCACTGCAGCAGGAAGGGTCCTTGGCAGCTGCTGGTGGGCCACATGGGCTCATGGTGCTTGGGATGCAGTGGGAGCAGATGAGAAAAGACATTTGCCCATGTTGAAAATGCCTCTGTGGGTGGGGTAGAGGCAGTTGGTGTCCTTTACCCCGGGTTACAGCCTGGATGCTGTGGGTGACCCCCTGGGTCTTCCCAGCAGCCTGGCCCTTTGCGGATGGAGGCTGCAGGGAACAGCAAGCCATGCCCCTGGTTGGGGGTTGCAGGATACCATCCCAGGGGGAGAGAGAGGCAGGCAGGGAAATGGGTGGCACAGAGCATGACATGGCCTGATTCAGCAGGGGAAATCATCAGTGTGTACTGTGCCTGGAAGAGCCGGTAGGGCTGTGGACTTAGCTATCCTGGAGGGTTTTGGTGAAGGTTAGGGAAGGAAGATGTGCCGAGAGAGTGGCAAGGCCAGGGGTGGCAGCTAATCACCCGCGAAGTGCCAGCACGGAGCTTTGCCGGTCTTATCAGCCGGGTGGGAGCACCGCCGGGATGAGGCGGCTGCCGTGTTTCACACTGCTCTTCTGTGCTTCTCTCCTCCCGGCCCAGAGATCCCCCAGTGCGCCGGCTGCAACCAGCACATCCTGGACAAGTTCATCCTCAAGGTCCTGGACCGGCACTGGCACAGCTCCTGCCTCAAGTGTGCCGACTGCCAGATGCAGCTGGCCGACCGCTGCTTCTCCCGGGCCGGCAGCGTCTATTGCAAGGAAGACTTCTTCAAGTGAGTACCACTCGAGGGTACGGCCCCTCAAAAGCGGCGTCTCCCCCTCCCACCCTGCACCCTCCCCCTTCGCCCGCGAAGAGACAAGCGAGCAACCTATTTTTAAGCGTAATTTCTCCAAAATCTTTATCTAACTCTTGTTTGGTGTGGAAATAAGGGAAATGCTGCCGCAGGCTGGATGCTGCTCGTGGGATTAACCTTCTGAGAGCTCCAAATCTCCGCGATGCTCCTGTCCCTCCCTGTGCTGGTTTCAGCATGGGATGGCAAGCTGCGGTGGTTTGGCAGTGGCCCTGGCTCTGCTCAGAGCTAGAGGGCAGGAGAAACCCGTGCAAGGCAGCGGGAGCTCCGCCTGCTCCTGCCCGAGCTCCGCTCGCCGCCCGGGTTTGCTGATGCCGGTTCGCTTCCTTCAGCTTTTTACATTTTTTTAATTTTTTTCTTTTTTTTTTTTTTTTTCCTCCCAGTGGTGTGAAAACCTCATTTGATTTTGTTGTCAGCTGCCTCTGAGCTGAGCTATGCCCCAGCCTCAACGTTTCCCTGCTCCAGCAGGATAGGACAACCTGTTTCCCGTCAAAAATGGACTTTTCAGAGGGGATGATTTAGCCGCAGGCTGCTGGCGAAATGGGGGAGTTTTCCCAAGGGATGGCGGGAGCGTTGCACTGGGGCTGGGCACAGCTTTGCCGGCGGTGCACGGCTGTGAAGCAGAGGGGTGCTGCAGGGGTGCTGCTTCATCCTTCCTGCAGAGAGGAGGGCCAGACCCTGGCCAGCACACGCCTGGCCTGGACTCTCCCTGCATGCCCATCCCCAGGCTCTCAGTCCTCCTGGGCCCCCCCTGTCAGGCTTCAGGGCCAAAGATGCTGCTTGAGTTTCTCCTTCCCAGCTGCGGAGTATGCAACAGTCAAAGCGGCCGCTACCGCCTGAGTAATAACACTTCACTTCTGATATTTTCCAGCCTATTAATCTCCAAGTCATTTAAATAGTCGCCCAAAAGGTGCGGGTAATCAATGTTAATTAGAGTTGAAAGATCAGCGACTTTCTTAGATGAGGTCCTGCCTGGATTATTTGGTGCCAATCAATAGCATCTCGGCGCTCGCTGAAGCGCTCACCTCACCTTTCTTTCAACCGCTCATTGATTTCAGGGTAGGAAACCTGCAGAGGACGGGAGGATCTAAGGCCAGCTTCACGGGCAGGTTTGCATACAGGAGCGCTCCTCAAAAGACCAGATTCTTTGATTTTTATCTTGTTCTTCTTCTCCCTAATTGCGGCCCTTGCTCCTCAGCTGTGGGCTGCTCTGTCCTGGGTCTGGCTGTCCCCAGGTGGTGCAGAAACACCCCAGGATGCTTTGGGGGGCGGGGGGGGTGGGGTAAAATTGCTTTAATAGTGTTCTGGAGGGTGGTGAATGGGTGAAGGGAAGATAGGGGCTGTAGAGCCTGCACTGGCTCAGCCTTGGGCACAGAAAAGTGTTGTTTGCCTGTCCTGTCCCTCTCTCTGTCTATCCCTACATCCTCCATTTCCTCCCTTTCTCCTTCCATACCTCTCCCCAGGCTGATTCATGGAAGGCTGAGATTTCCTCAGCAGACGTCCAAGGACTCTCCCTTTAGGATACCAGCCCAGAAAATGAAACAAAACATGTTTTCCTCCTTGCTTTCTGATCCAGCACCTCTTTGGGCAGCTGCTCAAATTGCACCAGCACCACTCATGCCCAGTACCTGTCACCCACCGCTGGTGACCCCTTTGTGACTAGGGGACCCAGGTTTGGTGGTCATGCCCTCACCCTCTGGATGGTGTGAGGTCAGGGGCAGCCACAGGCTTGTGTGATCGGAGGATGTTCAGCCCTTGGGGATCAATGGGAGGTGTTTGGGGTGGCTGTACACCCTATGCACCCCCAGTGCCACTACCTGTCCCTGCAAGCCTTGGGGGTGGGGGCCAAGGTGCTTGGGTTTTGCTGAACTGCCTCCTTCAAGGCAGATGGCTCTGTTTAAGGTGTAAGGGACAGATTATTCTGGTAGCTTTGCTGTCTGGGCTGCTGCTGCAATGCTAGGCTAGCTCTGTGGAGTCCCAGCACCCTACTGATGGGGTGTTATGGGGTGCTGGGGGGGAGCAGGGGAGACCCAGACCTTATGGTGCTGATGGGAGGTGAGCATCTGCCCCATGTCAATCCTGAAGCCCACAGTATCTGTTGCTGAAAACACCCGTGGAACATCCACTTGCTTTTTACTTCTTCCTGTGCTGCCACCACCTCCTGCAACGTGTTGCCCTTCCTCCATTAATTCAGGTTATACCGGGTGTTATCTGAGTGTTAGCCTTCATGTCTGCACATGGCAACTGCACCCCACCACAGTTTGTGGGTGCACTCCAAGTGAAGGGCACCCCAGAAGCTCTGCAGCAGAGTGCCTGTGATCCATGGGACTCCTGGGTGGTACACACACTCCTTGCGTGCTCCTTTTATGCTTCTTCCATTCTACTTGCACCATTCTTACATGCTCCTTTCCATGCTTCTTGTCCCATTCCTGCATGCTCCTTGCGTGCTGTTTTCACACTTGTCGCATGCTCATCACAGAATCAGCTAGGTTGGTGAAGACCTTTCTGATCACCAAGTCCAACCTTTACCCCAGCGCTACCAAGACCATCACTAAACCATGTCACTAAGGGCCTCATCTACACAGTTTCTGAACACTTCCAGGGATGGTGATTCCATCACTTCCCTGGGCAGCCTGTTCCAATACCTGATCACCCATTTGGTCTTTGCACGCTTCCTACACACTCCCTGCAGCTGTGCTGGCGGGCTTGCTTGGCCCCATACCTGCCCCAACCCAGCACACCCACTGCACCCATCGGGCTATCATTATGGTATAAGAGCCCCATCATTCTTCATTAATCTGGGATTCACCATGATAGTGAGGAGGTGTAATTAATTTATTTGGTATTAATGTGGATGAAATATGTACTGTCCTTGCAGGGAAAAATCAGGCAGCCTATAAGCATTAGTTAAAAGAACCATTAAAATCAAACCTTCCTCAGCTCCATTAGGCCGCTCTTTCACGCTGAAGAAGATAAACCCCTGCCGTGTGAAGTGTCATGCATAATAAGGTTGTTTGCTGGTTTAAACTCTGCCCTGTCTCCTGTTCCCCACCCCATCTCCAGCAAAGCCCACCTGGCCGAGGGGCTCAGGGGGTCTCTGGTTCTCCTCGCAGGCGTTTCGGGACCAAATGCACGGCCTGCCAGCAGGGCATCCCCCCCACCCAGGTGGTCCGCAAAGCCCAGGACTTCGTCTACCACCTCCACTGCTTTGCCTGCATCATCTGCAGCCGGCAGCTGGCCACCGGCGATGAGTTCTACCTGATGGAGGACGGGCGGCTGGTCTGCAAGGAGGACTATGAGACTGCCAAGCAGAACGGTAGGCACCCTGACGGCGTTAAGAAGTGGAACATCGCACTGAGGGGTGGCCATGGCTCGTGTCGCTGGCGTTGTACCTCTGGGCTCTAGGCAGATGCTTTTGGGGAGCTTTTCCCCAGTGGTGTGTGCTGGCCGTTCAGGGCTGCTCATGCTGCTGCAGTTGGGGCTGGTACCGTCTCCTTCACTTGCAGATGACTCTGAGGCGGGTGCTAAGCGGCCCCGGACCACCATCACGGCCAAGCAGCTGGAGACACTGAAGAACGCCTACAAAAATTCCCCCAAGCCCGCCCGGCATGTGCGGGAGCAGCTTTCATCTGAGACGGGGCTTGACATGAGGGTGGTGCAGGTGAGGCCACAGGGAAGTTCCTCTTCACCCTGCCCCTAGTGAAGGTGGATGCAGGAGTCCCACTGGGGTGCTAGGTTGCAGGAGTACCAGGCTTCAGGGGATGCAGGGGTGGCAGAGGTATTGGGTGGCATGAGTGCTTGGGAGCTGGCTTGCAGGGGTGCTGGCATGCAGGGTTTTGCGGCGCTGGTTTGCAGGGGTTCCTGGATGCTGGGTTACAGGGTGCTGGTTTCCATGGGTGTGTGGGAGCTGGGTTGCATATGTGTTAGCATGATAGGTTACGGGGGGACTGAGTTGCATGTGTGCTGGCATGTGGAGTTGCAGGGGTGCTGGGGGTGCAGAAGTAGAGCAGTGCTGGCATGCTTGGACGTAGGGTACCAGGCTGCTGGCGTGCTGGCCGACTGCATTGTATGGGTGCTGGTGTGCTGGGTTGCAGGGCTGCTGGCATGCAGGGGGGGCAGGGTGCCGTGCTGCCATCAATGTCCCCACTTCCTGCCCCAGGTGTGGTTCCAGAACCGCCGGGCCAAGGAGAAGCGGCTGAAGAAGGACGCAGGGCGGCATCGCTGGGGGCAGTTCTACAAGAGCGTCAAGCGGAGCCGTGCCGGTGGCAAGCTGGAGAAGGAGAGCTCAGCCGAGGACTGCGGCGTCAGCGACAGCGAGCTCAGCTTCCGTGGTGAGCGGGGATCCGGCACAGGGCAGGGGGGTCGCGGGGGTCCCCCCTGCGCTGACGTTTCCCCTCTGCTGTCCCTCCTCTCCCCAGCAGAAGATCAGATCCTCTCCGAGCTCGGCCACACCAACCGGGTTTATGGCACCGTGGGGGACGTGGCAGGAGGACAGTTGCTGAACGGCAGCTTCCCCATGGAGGGAACAGGACAGTCGTACCAGGACTTGCGGGACGGCAGTCCCTACGGCCTCCCCCAGTCGCCGTCCTCCATCTCCTCCCTGCCGTCCCACCCGCCCTTGCTCAACGGGCTGGACTACGCCATGGACGGCAGCCTGGGGCTGGTGGCCCACGGGGCGCAGGGGGTGAGTCAGACGCTGCGGGCCATGGCCGGGGGGGGGCCCACCTCCGACATCTCCACGGGGAGCAGCGTCGGGTACCCAGACTTTCCCACCAGCCCGGCCTCCTGGCTGGACGACATGGATCACCCCCCTTTCTAAGCGCCGCTCGTCCCCTGCTCCGGCCCCCCTCGCTTCCCCCCAGCCCGCAAGCATAGCACTGAGGGCGCCTGCCGGCAGTTGACCTTTCCAGGATTTCCCATGGGAATCTGCCCCGGAGGGCTGGAAGGAGAGGGATCAGCATCCGCGATGGCCCTGGGTGGCTGTGCTTGGGGTGTGTGCGTGGGACACAGATGCCTTTGGGTGTAAGCACAAGAGAGGTGTCGGCGCACGGGATGCATGGCGAGGACCCTGCGCAGGGCTGGGCACAGAGGGTGCTGGTGATGGTGCGGGCCGGCGGGAGGGAAGGACAATCACGGATGGCAGAGTCCGTCCCGGGGCCCGCGCCAGCCCCGCACCCCTTCTTTTGAGCACCGCTGCTATTTTCAAGAGTTATTTTTCGATACGGAGTTGAAAAGCGGCTTGGCGCTGCCCGGAACCTCAGCGGGAAGAAAAGTCTATATTGTAGAAGGGTTTATTTTAGCGAGGCAGGGGACCTGTCCAGGCAGGGCCATTGCCCTGCTGCCCGGGGGTGATGCTGCCGTGCACGGCTGTGATTTATCCCTGGCACGCAGGAGCACTTACAGCGCATCCCTGCGGGGTTTACCTCGGTCATGTGGCAGGGAGGAATTAAAACAGAAAAAGCCTCTCACTGGAGATGCCCATGGCCAAGCAGTGCTGTGCTGGGGCCGGCCGGGGTGCTCGGGGCTGGCACATGGAGAGCAGCTGCCGCAGGTGCTGGAGAAGGGTGGCAGGGAGAGGTGGGGAATGTTTGCTCTCAGGGTATTGCAATTCCCCCCCGCAAAAGAAGGGAAAAAGAGCATTTCATCAGCTGCAGAAGCACCCCCGTGGTGGGGAATGGAGGGGATTATACTGTGACACCCCCCCTGGCATAGGCCAACCACCTCCTCTGGTGCTGTGGGGCTGCACAGCGGTGCTGACAGGACCGAGGGTGGGTGCAGGCAACTGGGACACCACGGGCCCCATGAGGTCAGGTCCACCCAGCACCACCCCCTTTCTCAAAACCCACCCCCCGGGCGTGCAATGGCCACTGCCCATCTCCCTCACCCATCCTGGCCAGGCTGAAGGCATTCAACCCGGTGACAAAATCCAGCTCCACACTCATTGGCCGGGGTGCCTGTCTCTGCCCCGGCCCACGGCGGTGCCCTGGCTGCGGGCTCCCTACCGCTCCGGGGTGATGCTGATGATCCCAGGCTGCCCTTCCAGGAGGGTTGGTAGTGGATCCAGTTGAGTGTCTGCTGCCAGAGGCTGGAGGGAAGGGGGTGGGGGAGGAAGAGCTCCAGAAGGAAAGGAGAAAAAAAAAGAATAAAAATGGGAAAAAAAGAAAAAAAAAGCCACACAAGAAAGCACATCACTGGTATGTCCCTGTCCCTCCGTGCCCCCCAGCTGGGTGTGTTGGTGCTGCAGGAGCTGCACCCATGTGCCTCCCCTCCCAGGCTTAGGTGCTGCTTTGTGCCAAGCTCCCGGCCTCGCCGGGTACCGCAGGCAGCTGGTGGGGAGGTGAGCAGGGGGAAGCTATGCCTGCTGCTCTCCATCCCCATTTGACAAGGCCAAATACCCCCTCCCCTCACTGTGTAAATTTTGTACAGTTCCAGAAGGTGAGAGTCTTGTTTCCTGGGGGAAAAATGAAAAAAACAAAACCCAACAAAAATAGTAATTAAAAAAAAAATAATCAAAGAATCAAACCTTATTTATTGCCATGTCTTTGGGGAGAAAGGATCTCTCCTCTCCCCTGAATTTGGGCCCAGGGCATTGCTTTTGTATCCTGCCTCCAGTGCATTGGCATGAGATATGTACAGTCACCCCCTCCGCCTTGAGGGAAAGTGATGTCAAATAAACTCGGGATGCTGTTTAGCCACTGCTGTCTTTGGGATCTTCTTCCTTAGGGAGGGAGGGCAGCAGCCACCATCAGCATCGCCTGCTCCAGCACCATCAACTGTTTGGGATCGGCATCCCCTGGGTGTTGGATGGATGAAGGAGCCAGCATCCCCATGGGATGGGGCAGGATCATTATGCACTGGCCTTTTGCAGGCACAGGTGTGGGGGGTGGGTTTGGGGTGGGTATCTTCATCCCTGCCACATGGCACCCAAAAATGCCAGCAGCTTTCCTGACACCATGCAGTGATGTTGGTGCCACTGCCATTGCCTAGCTGTACCACCACAGCACTTGGTGGGCACAGGTGAGGTGGAAGTGCCATGCCAGGGGGCCCAAGCTCCATCATGGGCACCTGTGCGTTGGCTTTCTATATTTTAATCATTTTAACATTTAATGCTTCTCAATTAAAGTGATTTCCTGGAGTAGATGCCAAGCTTAGAGCAAATGCACATTAACCACTTTCTCTATCAGTAGTTAAAGGCACCAAGGGATTTAAACAGCAATCTGCAGGGCTGCTGGGGAAAGGTTTGGCTGAATAAAGCAGATTATAAACAATAATATATGTCTTTCTCTCTCACCCCCACCCTCTTTTTTTTTTTTTTTAAGTTTTTTTGGAAAGGCTCCAGCCTCACAAACAGACCTAAAGTGCTATAAACATCTCCAGGGCTGAGCACTCAGCCCCCAAATGTGCTCCCTGAAAGCACAGGGATCACAGCTACTGCTTTTCATCCCTGCTTTAAGAGAGATCTTTTATTACCCAACATGTCCATCAAGCTGTGCATTATAGCACTGCACAAGGGTGGCCTCGCTTGTCCCTAACCTTGATGCCACCATGTCTCCATCCCAAAACTAGTGGAGTGGCTCCATGCAGAGCACCTCAGCACTGGGGTTGGCATCTTTGCTTCATTCACATTTGGGTGCAAAAGTGACCATCACTGCTGTCAGCACCCATCACATTTTGACTGCATAAGCCATGTTTGTGGTGAGACGAAGTACTGTCAGCCTGCAGGTGCCCTTGGGAGGGTGAAGGTCAGCAGAAGCCATTGTGGGCCCTTGCTCAGGGGTCAGGGGGCTGCTGCATCACCTTCCATCAAATAAGCACTGTCCCACAGGCACCCTAAATGTTGAAACCTAACATTTTGTATAGAATATGGATGTTTATCAGCAGCAGCTTGCTTCACGCCACTAAGGAGACACATCTCTATATCCCCTGTATGCAGCTCCCTGTCTGGCCGCTGTCAGCTCGTTTTACCAGCCCCTTGTCACAACTGGGCAGCAAAAGTGCTGGTGCATGTGTGGTGGCTGCAAACGGATGCACAAGGTGTATTTTAGTTTCGCCATCCAGTGTCCGGCTGGGAAGGCAGTTTCTCTGGGATAGTCAGAAGAAGCAGGCTTAGAGCTCGTTTCCTACCCACTTCACAAAAAGCCCTGAAGGGCTATTTTTATTTTTTACCCAAAAGCACAGAGACCACCACCACAGCTCTCCAGCTCATCAGACCCCTCCAGTATGAAGGTAATGGGAAATAATTTGACACGGTCAATCTAAATGCCCATACAGTCCATTAACTTGCCTACCACTGAGCTTGGCGTGTGAGCTATGCCGTAGCGGTGCTGTGGCTGCTGGTGGCATTCAAGCCAGTGCAGCAAACTCAAGACAGTATTAGCAAATGCTGGCAGGAGTCAGCTCCCATGAGGGGCTGAAACACACAAATGCCTTCTGTCCAGCCAGTTATTAGTGGCGGGAACATTCCCATTTATTTTCCTGAGGCTGGAAGGACTTGATGGCAAGTAGTCCGTCACAACAAGGAGGTTTCCTATGCTTTCCCCCAAGCTGCAGATCTCCTTCTCCAAGGAAAAGCAAGCAGCATGGCAACACCCTGCAGGGAAGCCACAGTCTCCTCCTGCTGTGTACACCCACCCAGTGCAGCAGTCGCCCTCCCAGACAGTAGTTTTAGCCCAAAGCACAAACCCATCCCTGGTAGCTTCCCTGCACGATGGGGATCCCGGTAAGCAAGCAGTAAGCCCTATCACAATCCCACCTCATTTCAGCACCTGAGTCATCCCCGCAAGGCACATCTTTCTCACTTCTTAGCATTTAGCCAGCTGAGCCATTCCAGGGATCAGAATGCAACAGGAGGACCTGGAGCAGCTGATGGAAGTATGGTTTTAACACCATTTAATTCAGCAAAGCAGTTCTGTGAAGTGGTAAGAGTCCTGTTGGCTTGGAAAGGTTGGTTAGCCGTAAAACACTTACTTGTCTTATATACGTTAGGTAAGAACTAGAGGGATGCACAAACAGCTGTACAACCCCACTGTTGTCTGTAGCCTTCTCCCCAAGATGTGGGCTTGAATAGAGCTTTCCAATGGCTATGACAGTGCTGCTCTTCCTCCCATCCTTATTGCTTCCAAGGAACTAAGTGACTCCCATTGAAAAAAAAACCACACCCCACGACACTCTGTCCCCACACTGTGCTTTTCTTTTATTTATAACATTTTGCTTGGACCCATTAAAGAAAACCCGAACAACTGAAAACAAACACCCAAAACTCAACCCAAAGGGCAGAGATGAACATCTCACCTGGCCCAGCAGCCATCCCCTCCCCACGGAGGAGCTGACCAGTCAGCACAGGCTGCTCTGGTGAGACATCCAATGCAGTAATTGTATTTAATACATTAAAACAATACTTCAGGCCTTCTCCAGACTCTCTTTCCCCTCCCTCCCCCCCAGTACTGATAAACGTCAGAGCATGCAAAACCCTGATCCCATCCTGCCCAGGATACACTCTCGGCCAGCCAGCCCTGGTGCTGGAGAGCCCACCCAGACCCTGTGCTCTAAAAGCTCCCCTTCAAGCCCCCAAGGCCTTTTGGCAGGCACCAGGGGAAGAGAAGGGGCATTATTGCAGAGTGTCTCTGTCCTCCCTGCCACGCGTGGCTGCGGGGTTAGGTCTTGCCAGCGGTGTGCTGCTGCAGAGCTGAAGTGATGGCTTTACAGTCTGTTACTTCCTCTGGCAGGCAGCCCTCCTGGTCCCGCAGCGTGGGGTTAGCACCCGACTTCAGCAACAGCTCCACGATGTCCAGAAATTCGCAGGCAGCAGCTGGAGGGAGAAAGCAAAGGGTTAGTTAGTCTGGAGATCCTGACCTGAGGCTGTGGTGACGGGCATCTCTGGAGCAGTGCTGTAGTTGGCAATTTCCCATGCATGTACCAGAGCAGGAAATGCTGTCTCAGCACCTGGCCAGGCAGAGCAGATAATTTTTCGGGGCAGTGTTCTGTACTCAATGTATTATTTGTCTTTGGATTTAATAGTGCAAAGGAAAGAGAAAAGACAGAGAGACGAAAAGCCACAAATCCTGTGGGAGTCCAGAGCCTGCAGCCCAGCCATGGAGCCACTGGTGGTTTGTGGGGCATCACCCAGGATGATGCACATGGTACCTAAGAGCAGTTTGGTTCATGTTTCTTCACGTCCAAGACTGCAAACAGACCCAGAAAGGGCTCCAGAGCACTAATGCAGCACCACAGAAAGCCCCAAAGTGCCACCTGGGAAAGCATTCCCTGCCTGCTTTTGTACTCAGAATTTACAATGCATTTATCATTTATAACATATTTATAAGCCCCTCACCTGCCTCCTGAACCTCCCAGGGCTCCACGCTGTTCCCAGGCAGCATGTCCCAGGCAGGACATCACCAGTTCTACCTTGCTCCTGGCTTTCATCTATCATTTCTCCTTGCAGAATATTTGGGGCTTTTTATCTGCCAGCTGGCCCTTCCCTGAGCAGCAGCTCCAGGGCAACGTGCCTGTGCCCACGGACAGCCGGTTACAGCACACTTCTACGTTATTCCTAACTCACACCTCTAGCAACTATTATTTAAACCCCAATTTACTCTGCCAAGATAGAACCAAGTTTGACCTGAGCTCTTCTCTGTCCTGAGGATGTAACAGCCTGACAGCTTTCAGCTTTCCCTCCAATCCTGCCTAAGGATATTAAAAAAACCAAACAAAAGAGAACCAGGAAAACCAGAAAAACTC